GAAGAAAGAAGGCACGGTGCTAGATTGCGCTTTGGGACGTGGAATGTTGTCTCTGTTATGTGAAGATCATCTAAGATAGTCGAAGTTATGAAGAGGGATATCAGCATAATGTGCATGCTAGAAACTAAGTGGATTGGAGAAAAGGCACATGAGATTAATCCCGGAGGGTTTAAGCTGTGGAATTCGGGGAGAGAGAGGAATATAATTGGAGTAGGCATTATGGTGACACGTGATTATGTTAAGGGTGTGTTGGAAGTCTTTAGGAAGAAAGACCACATCATGAGCACTAAATTTATTATAGGAGATGAGATCATGTCCGTGGTAATTGCTATGCACTACAAGTGAGATTGGATGCATCTATCACTGAACAATTTTGGGAGGATCTTGAAGAAGTGGTGCGACGAGTGCCAAATGGAGATAAGCTAGTCATAGGAGGCGACATCAACGTGCATGTGGGCCCAAGCCGTGATGATTTTGAGAGTATCCATGGCGGACATGGTTTTGGCACAAGAAATGAAGCGGAGAAGAAAATTCTGGATTTTGCCGTGACATGTGAGTTGGTTGTGATGAACACTTGGTTCAAGAAAAGAGACTCTCACCTTGTGACCTATAGAAGTGGAGCTAATAGTATCCAAATTGATTACTTTTTAGTAAGAATAACTTGGAGAACTAGTTATACTGATTGCAAGGTTATCCCAGGGGAGAGTGCTTGTAACACCCCAGCCCCGCAGGGTCCAAGGTAGTTACTCCACCACACCATCCAGACCTCTAGTACTGTCCTCACAAACCACCACGACCTTTACCGCGTACTTTGTGCTCACTCATGCGCACCCTGAGAAACTTCCCAGGGGGTCACCCATCCCAAGACTACTCCCGTGCAAACACACTTAACTTTGGAGTTCTTAGGTGATGAGCTCCCTTAAAAGGAGATGCACCTATGTTGGTATGAGTAGTACTATTAATCCGTTTGTATTAAATCTCAAGTGTTACAATCACCCCCACTTAGGATCGCAACGTCCTCGTTGCGTCCATAAACCAATTCACAATCACACCCCGGAATCTTTTTCCCTGCTAAATGCCCACCCGATATCCAACGGATCAGCACACTGTCGTAGGGTTGCTCTGATACCAACTTGTAACACCCCCAAATTTCCCACCCAAAAACACTTTGAAATAATACTTTATTCTTAATTTTATTTGAAAACATCATAATTGTGCAACGGAAACTTCAAAGGGAAATAGTGGCATTACCGCCACACTCGGTTCCCTTAACCGAGTGCACATGCTAAAACAATTTAAACTCCAAAATAAGTATTCACTAACTAAAGATATTGAAAATGGAATTACAATGATATACTAATTATATTTTCTAGCGGAAGCTCTCTCGAAATCAACATCATCATCAAAGCGTCACCTGTACAAAATCAAGTACAGAAAGAAAAACAAAAGAAAACAAAAATTAGCAACAATGCTAAGTAAGTTCCACCTAACCCCATAAAATAATATAATTTAATATTTTTGAAAAACATTTAGGAGGAAAAATCTGTTTAAAACAATTTATATCAATCATGAGTAAAACAATATTGATAAAACATAATTCACTAGTAAAATAATAGTACTTCAAATATAAGTAAATATTTTCAAATCACAATAATTATAAAAATACCAAATATACATAAAACCACCAAAAATCATTACAATAATTCCAAAGCATAAATCAAACACCAAGGGCCTTTTACTAACAGAGATATTTTCCAGTTTTCTAGAAAACTGGAAAACTAGAAAACAGAAAACAGGAAATGTGTTTACCAAAGAAATTTCTGGAAAACTGGAGATAGGAAAAAAGAAAAACGCGTTTCCCAAATCGTTTTCCAAAACGGAAAAAAGGAGACATGTCTCTATTTTCCTTAATAATTTGGAGAAGTGACTTTTACTAGTTTTCCAAATTTGGAAAACGCAGATGCTACGGTGCCGCTGCAATGAATTAACATACTTACACCTGGTGGTGGGTCCGGTCCCGCTCCGATGTAGATTCCATTCTGGTACCTCCATCCTCGTACCTTACCCCTTACCCCTACCTTACCCTACCCTACCCTACCCTACCCTACCTTACCCACCCAACCCAACCCCGCATACCCATTTTTCCCTATATTGACCCTACCCCACCCCGGCCCCACCCCGATCCACCCTACCCTACCGCCGCCCCCTACCACCTCGACCCCACCCCGACCCACCCTACCCTACCCCCAGTTGTATATTACCCCTTACCCCCTTACCACATGCCCCTACCTCGGCCCCACCCCACCGCCATCCTACCCCCACGCTCGTACCGCCATCTTACCCCCACCCTTCCGCCATCCGACCACCATCCTACCCCCCCACCCTACCCTTCCCCTACCCAGATCTTGGGCCCACCCTATCGCCATCCTATCCCACTACCCTTACCTTACCCCAACCCCAACCCTACCCACTACCCCCACCCTTACCGCCATCCTACACCCCACCCCTACCCCTTCCCTACCTCAGCCCCACCCTGGTCCCAGCCCCACCCTACCGCCATCCTATCCCAACTCCATACCCTACCTTACCCCAAACCCTACCCACTACCCCACCCTTACCCCTAACCACGACCCTAACCCACCAACTACCCCCACCCAACCCCCAACCCGACCATACCCCGTACCCCACCCCCCATCCATAACTTCTCTACCCCGACCCCTACGAGTAGGTATGGGTGGGTATGAAGGGTTGTGGGGGAGTATGGGTAGAGTGTAAGATCGTGGTAAGGGTAGGGGTCAAGGATGTGGAATTGGAGAACTGGGTGAAAAAATTGATGAACATGTTTTCAGATTTGAAAATGGAAAACTAAAAAATAGAAACAGAAAATTGGAGACAGAAAAACTGAAAAATAAAAACAGAAAATTGGAGAACGAAAAACAGAAGTAGAAAACAGGAAAATATCTCTGTTAGTAAACAGGCCCCAAATATTTATCTCAAAATACTTACAGATACTCGTAAAGGGTATTCAACATAATCAAACCAAATCAAATCCAAAAGTATTTACACTCTTAAAATTCATAAATAATTTAATAATAATTCAATCCCAATCAAAATTCAATCCAAACATAATCCAATCCAATCTCAATCAATCCAATATTTCAGATTCACCTCAAGTCCAATCCAATCAAGTAATATTCACCTCAAATCCAATATATCAATTTCACCTCAAATCCTCAAAACCAATTCAATCAAAGTCCAGTTCACCTCAAAACCAATCAAAGCCAATCCAATCAAAGTCCAGTGGAAGCCGAACTTCTACCTTAAGTGTGCACACCCCTTAAAAAGGATTCCAAACCCTCTGGGAAGTAAGAAGCCCGGCCGAGTAGTCGTGATTTGTCTACCAACTACACTACAATTAAGCTGGGATACTCCGCTTTTGGGAAGCACCCCTGGTGGATTTAGACTTATAGCCATTACCACTCACCAATACCACATTTATCCGGATGTGGCAAATCGACACCACGGATTTCTTCGGGTGCTCACCAAAAATCAAAATTCATTCTCAAAGTTCCAAACCAATATCACAACATCAACCAAAACAGATATGAAATCCAAAGTCCATAAAGTAATCCGCAATGTAAAATATCAATTCCAACAAATTACACTCAAATGTACCATACATTCAAATTTCACAAGAGAGCCAAAATATATAATACTTCATAAATAGCTCAAATCTCAATTATAATCCCAACAACAACTCATATGATAACTCAAATACTCAAAATATCATCCAATATCAAATACTCAAATTTCAAATATAATTTCTCAATAGCAATCCATAAATAATTCCAAATACTCAAATAAAAATCTCAATCGCAACTAATACGTAAATGTAATTGCTAGAAATCTCATCAAATACTCAAATATTTCAAATAAATAATCATAAGCAGATTTATGAGAAAAATGTATAATTTTGGGTTGCAATGAAACTTACCTCAAATTGTGATAAGACCTCGCCGAAACTTTGATCTTCACCAAAATCACCTTCTAAGAATATTAGAATTCTTTAATTAATAACTACTCTAGACCATTACTAAATATTACCCAAATGTGATTTAATTTATCCGGTTATCATTAATGGTGTTATTATTATGATGATGATGATTATTATGATTATTATTGTTGTTGTTGTTGTTATTGTTATTATTGTTGTTATTGTTGTTGTTATTGTTGTTGTTATTGTTGTTGTTATTGTTGTTGTTATTGTTGTTGTTATTGTTGTTTTTATTATTGTTGTTATTATTGTTGTTATTATTATTGTTGTTATTATTGTTGTTATTATTGTTGTTATTATTGTTGTTGTTATTATTGTAGTTATTATTGTTGTTATTATTGTTGTTATTATTGTTGTTACTATTGTTGTTACTATTGTTGTTACTATTATTGTTATTACTATTGTTATTACTATGGTGCGCAGAAGAGAGAGGAAGAGAGAGGGATAAGGTGTGTGCGGTTATTGATCGGCTAGAGAAGGGGGCAGAAATGGAATGAGAATTTACGTAGGTTTCAAAATAGGAGTAATAAGATCCTATTTGGGGAATAAAAATTATATGGTCCTATTTAAGAATTTCTCTTCTCTTTTAGTCCTATATGGGGCAATTACTAATTTATTTACGAAGACATATATATGTTATAAACATTAAATTTAATTAAAATATAAACTCATTGTACGAAAATAATTTTTTGTATAAAAAATTTGAACACACATACTTCGTATATATTATGAGCAAATTTGAGATATTTATCGTACAAATTTGAGATATTTATCGTATACTAAAGTTTGGTTATTTTGCCTGTAATTTAATGTTTGTATATTTCTAATACTATGTACCTCTTAAATTTTTCTAACATGGGAAAGTGAAAGATGATGACCGTATGATTTGAATTTGGAGTTTGGGACAAGTTTTCCTAATATATTTGACCACTTGTCCGTCATCCTGATTTGAAATCTATGAGGCATATATTTTCAGCACCCAATGGTCATCCACCCAATTGAGATAGACCTCTTTCATTGAATCAATTATTTCCCAGCTTCAATCACTTCCATATAACTTATTTCTTCTGAATCTAAAAGCTTACAGAAATCACAGTGAGAAGAATAAAATGCCTGGCGATAACGCCGTCACCGTGCCGTTATTAACAGACCATTCCTCCTCCTCCGTCCAAAACAAAGGCAGTAATAATGCTTTTAGAGACGAAGAACAAGACGGAGAGAAAAAGTTATCACGGAGATTTTTGGTGGAATCGAAGAAGCTGTGGCAGATTGTGGGCCCCGCCATCTTCAGCCGCATCGCTTCTTATTCCATGTTCGTCATCACCCAGGCCTTCGCCGGCCATCTCGGCGATCTGGAACTCGCCGCCATGTCCATCGCCAGTAACGTCGTTCTCGGCTTTGACTTTGGCCTCATGGTACGTACGAAGTATTTCTTTCTTTGAATTATCGTGGCACTTTAATTATCATTCGATTAAATATCAAATTTTATTTTTATATCAATTAGTTTCTTATTACATGCTTCCTCCGTCCCGCAAAGAAGTTTCCACTTTCCTTTTTAGCAGTCTCAAAAAGAAATTTCCCTTATCTTAAATGGCAAGTTATCTACATCAAAACAGTGCAAAACAGAGTCAAACAGTAGCAAACAGTGTTGAAACAGTGTCAAAACAGTAAAATTTACCCCTGGTAAGTTTATTTCCTTAATATAGTATGTGTGTAGGTCAAACCGGGAACTTCTTTGCGGGACGGAGAGAGTATATTCCCTCCGTGTATAAAAAGATCACTATATTAGATTTTAACACGATACCTATTACGGAGTAAATAAATAGTAGGGGTAATAAATAGTCAAGTGAAAAAATAGGAGACATAGGATAAAAAGTAAAAAAAATGAGGGCAAATGAGTATTTTTAAAAGAAAATTTTACCAAAAATAGAAAATATAGCAAACTTTTAAATACATCTCAAATAAGAAAGTGTAACTAACTTTTAAATACGGAGGAAGTACAAGTAAGTAAGAATTAATGTTCAATATAACCGATAAAAATGTTACTTTCTATTCTTAGAGCCCGTTGGGCAATACCCAAATTGGCAGCACGAGACGATTCTATTGAAATTTATGAATTTTTGACCGAAGTCGCTCGATTGGCTGATTATGTTGATTTTTAAAAAAAATTAAAATATTTTTTATTAATAAAATAAACAAAAAAAAATATGAAAAATAGCTAAAATGATCATATTCAGTAATTTCAGCCAATACAACTAGACAAGTAACGTTAATCTCACATTTTCTTATTATTACATAATTCATCGTGAGAAATAAAAAGTTACTTGTTTGATGAAAAAATTGTCTGATAAGCCGTAAAAACAGAATCACTAAATGGGCTCTTAGAGATTATTTAAATACTCCCTCTGTCCCGAAATTAACTTCCCACTTTCCTTTTCAGGCAGACCCGAAATTAACTTTCCACTTCCTTATTTGGCAAATTGCCTACATTAAAACAGTGCAAAATAGTGTCAAACAATGTTGAAACTGTGCAAACTGTGTCAAAACAGTAAATTTATCCCTTAGTAAATTTATTTTCTTAATATGCGTGCAAATCAAACCGGGAAGTTGCTTCCAGGATGGATGTAGTAATAAATACAGAGTAGTAAAATATGAAAAGTTTTAAAATAGAACTTCATATGTTCAGTAATAATAGTTTACCTTTTCTTTTTGTTAAAGTATTTGTCCTACACCGGAAAGATATAAAATAATAAAACACTATATAATGCTTCGGGCTACTCCTCCTATCAGGTTAACCTTTTAGGATGGAATCCCAGATCTTAACATGGTATCAGAGTCAATTCCGGTTGTGGTTTGACTGCTTGTTTAGCACCCATGATTACAAGTAGCTTGTTAATGGTCTGTTTGGCCTATTTATACATCCCAATATTGTCCAGCCAGGTTCGGGGTGAGGGGGCGTGTTGAAGTATTTGTCCCACACCGGAAAGCTATAAAATAATAAAACACTATATAAGGCTTTGAGCTACTCTTCTTATCAGATTGACCTTTTAGGATAGAACCTCAGATCTTAACACTTTTCACACCGTGCACATGTAAAATATATTATGGGACACACACAGAAAACAGTTAAATAGAGAGCATTATACATGTTTTTTAATTATCTACTTCCTCCGTCCTTTAAAATTTTGTCAATTTTTTTTCTTTTAATTAAAGAATTTGTGATTTCAGTAAATTCAATCTACTCTACACAAATCTCAAGCACAAAGATTTTACTTTATTAATTTCCATGGTCAAACTTACCAAAGTTATAAAGGATGAAAGAAGGAAAAAATTTCACTTTTATTTGGTCCTATGACTATTATGTCATTTCCACATTTTCCCCTTGACTTTCAATTTTATCACATTTAGTTCGTGACCTTTTTCCCTTCACCACCCATCATCTATCTGACCACAATTCCGGCACATTTTAACCGGAAAGTCATTTACGGAGAAATATTAGGGGCATTTCAGTAAATGTATGTTGTTAAAACGGTCACCTTCTAAATAAACTTGACTTAATGCGTACATTTTGATAACTTAACATTAACATTTTGACCTAACATATATTTCTCTGTAAATGGCTTTCCGGTTAAAATGTATCGGAGTTGTTGTAGGAAGGACAATGGGTGGTGAAGAAGAAAAGATCACGGACTAAATGTGATTAAATTGAAAGTTAAAGATGCAATGTGGAAATGACATAATACACATGAGACCAAAAATGGAATTTTTTCATAAGTAAGCGTAAAAATTACTTTTTAAATAAATTTTGATAATTTTCTCATGATTTTAGTGGTAATGATTTTCTATTTCGATACATCGAATAATACTTAATGTTGAATATTCGAGCCTAGCACGTTCTGTACTTTTTTTGGAAATCAACTCACTAGTTTGTCTAGTTTGTCTGGTACCTCTAGAGCTAGGCAGCTAGCCCAATAATGTACTTTCCCTTTTTGTACGCATATGGTAGTACTCCGTAATTTATTACCAAAATATGGACGAAGACCTCAAATTGTATAAACTAGGAAAACTGTCAAATAGGTTCTCGAACTTTCATAAAAAGGTCAATTAAGTCTTTCTATAGGAGATTCTTTCCGGCCGTCGCAATTTTGGGACAGTTCCCGGTGGAATTTTTTGATGAATTTTTTTGAGAATCTTATTCATCAAGTCTAGTTTACTGTTTACGCATACCAAATTTCAGCTAAAAATTTAATCGGGAGCGCATTCAAATTAATTCGAGAACGCAAAAATGCGCAGTTATCTTGAAGAATTAATTTCAATGTGTTCCCGATTGAATCTTTAGGTGAAATTTGGTATGAGTAAACTAGACTTGATGAATAAGATGCTTAAAAAATTCCACCGTGAACCGCCCCAAATCGCGACGACCGGAAAGAGTCTCCTATAGAAGGACTTAATTGACTTTTTTATGAAAGTTCGAGGACCTATTTGACAGTTTTCCCTATGAACTATGAATCGTCAATTTTTCTTGTAAATGGCGACCAAATGTTTTTACGCAAGTTTCCATAATTTATCAGAATAATCCTACGATCGATTTTCTCATAATAATATCATATTTAGCTAATTTCAAAATAATCCGATCTTTCACTTCATCTACTTTCGTTGAACCCTGATCGGTTGGTGATCTACAATACCATGGTTTTTGCATTTGTTTTTGGAAACCTTACATAAATAATTTCACCTTTCAAAAATCTGCTCAAAAAAATACAATGGTCACTTTTTCTCTGTATTTTTTCCCTTATTTTAATCCATGGACACTTTTTTATTCATTATTCCATCCTTTTATTCTCATTTCTTTTCCATATATATTATTCTATTTCTCGTCAATTATACCGTGGGATCGGCACACCATGGACATGGTGTGCCAATCCCAATACGGCACCGTTTCTGCAATTAAAAATAACGCAGTCAAATAATCTTCTCTCGTTTGACCAGTTTTTCTCACTCTATTAGGGGAGTTTTTTTTAATTTCCTTCCCAAGCCAAATGCAATTTTTCGTCATTTTCTTTTTCTTGTCATATTTTTATTTCATTTCCTGTTTTATGTTTCTTTTCTTAGTCATTCACTGTTTATTAAATATCTTTTTCCCAACCTACTTTTTGTTATATTTCATTTCTTGTTACTTCTTCAAATGTTCTTTCTTCTACATTCTTTCCTTTCTTCTTATTATCTTAATTCCACCATGAATATATTTTTTCTCCTTTCTTCGTTATCGTATTTGTAAGTAAATCAACCCATTAATTCTATCATTTGTGGAGGAAAATCTATGTGATAAAAAATTTAGAGAAAGATAAAATTTCAAGAAAAATAAAACATTCGAAAAATGTGAAAAACAATCAGGAAAATGTAATTTTTCCTTTCTAATATTTTCCGAATGTTTTATTTTTTTCAACTTTTCCCATAATCTTTTTGCCACATAGAATTTTTCCCATAGTTGATGAAATTAATAAGTGGACTTACTTAGAAAAATACGATAATGTAGAAAGGGGAAAAAAATATTGATAGTGGAATTAAGATAGCAACAAGAAAGAAGAAAATACATAATAAAAAAAAGTAACAATAAGAAAAAAGGGGATAAGTGAAAATGAAAAGAAAAAAAATAGAGTGTGAAAAGATCTTTAATAATAAGAGAATGATTAAGAAGATAAACACATAAAAGAGAAATGAAATAAAAATACAGAAAGAAAAAGAAAATGACAAAAAAATCTATTTCAGAAGGAAATTTAGAAAAAACACTCCCTATTGAGTGAGAAATAAAATAATATATATGAAAAACAAATAAGAGTAAAACGATGAAAAAAAAAAGGAATAAAAAACTGTCTAGGGATAAAAATAAAGAAAGAAAAGTTTTAGGAAGAAAAAAAATAAATGAAACGTGAGACCATTTTGTAAGATTTCCTTGCTAAAGAAATTATTGTATTTCCTACTCTATTAGGAGTGTTTTTTTGTAAAATTTCCTTCCCAAATGAAAAAATGAATAAAAAAGTGCCTATGAATAAAATAATGAAAGAAAAAAATCAGGGAGAGAAACGACAAAATGAAACATGGAGGACTGTTTTGAGAAAATCAGTGAAAGATGGGGTTATTTATGCAAGTTTTTTTAAAAAATGCAAAAAACCTAGTATAGTAGGTCACCAACCAGTCAGAGTTCAACGAAAGAAAATGAGGTACAAAAGTGAGATTATTCTGAGAATACGTAAATGTGGGATTATAATAAGTAGATCAATCAAAGGTTGAATTATTCTTGTCAAATTTTCAGTATTTCTATTGACATTAAATAAATAGAACAAATTAAAAACAAAAACAAATTATAAATTTAAGTTCCTATATTGGAAAATAATAATTTAAAGAGTTAAAATAATGATTTTTTTTAGAAGTTTTTTCTAAATATTTTTACTCTGTTCCTTAAAACTTTACTAATTTTGATTGGCATAGAGATTAATAAAACCAAAATTGTATAGTTGAGGTTTGTGTAGAGGAGATAGAATTAACTGGAACCACAAATTCTTTACTTAAAAGAGAATGTGACAAAGTTAATACGACAATCAAAAAAGAAAGAAAAGTTAACAAGATTTTAAGGGACAAAGGGAGTACTAATAAAAATATACGAACAAAAATGGAAGTATAAATTACAATGTGTTATCTTTATGATCGGCATAGAAGTTACTAAAGGGGGCTTGTCCCTGTACTCTGTTGCTCCAGGTTAGCGGGTAAGCCTTTATTGGCTGGTTGCCTGATTTCTTTGTTATGGTTTGGACAGGGGTATGTCCCGGTGTTTCTGTATAACATTTTTGTATGAGTGAACATGTACATTTTATCCGGTATAATCACTTTGGTGTAACATTTGAATGTGATTATAATCTCTAAAGTTACCAGATTTTCATTTTTATCAACTACTTTTATTTTGGGGGTTTAATGCGCCAAACCCCCTGTGATTTGGAAATTCGGCGTATTAGCCCCCTGTGATTTAAAAAATGCGTCAAACCCCCTGTGTTTTAATTAATCATGCACAGAACCCCCTTTAGGAATAAATTTAACGATTTGAAAATCACTTTTCCTAATATTTTGATTGAATATGCAAATAAATATGTCAAAATCTCTGAATCATACAAAAATGTTAATCTTTTTTCTTTTATTTGACAATTGAATTTGTTCACATAAGGGATTTGGCGCATGATTAATTAAAACACAGGGGGGTTTGACGCATTTTTTAAATCACAGGGGGCTAATGCGCGGAATTTCCAAATCACAGGGGGGTTTGATGCATTAAACCTTTTATTTTGGTTATATATTTGATTTTTTTTTTCAAACTGGGGTGGTTGTAGACCTTATTTCCCAAATTAGAGTGTTTTAAAATTTATTTCACAAACTAGGGTATTTTTTGGCACGTCACCCAACCTGCCACGTCACAATGCCACGTTGTTTCTACTCACTCCATGTCGTCAAATTTGGGTGTATTTTACTTGGTTAAAAAATACAGAGTATGTTACTAGGGGAGTTAGAACCCACAACCTCTCACGTAGTAGTGCAAGCTACCGGTGGATTATTTAAATAATTAAAGAATTTTACAAGCATGTCTAAGGCAAAGGTAAGACATTGAACAATTAATTTTGAGAATTTAAAATTTTGTGATCCTATTCTTTCAATTTATATGGAAATCATACCATATAAATTCTATTTTGATAAGAAAAACGATTTATGTCAGTTGGGAATGGCTAGTGCTTTGGAGACGCTATGCGGGCAAGCATTTGGGGCGAAGAAGTACAGCATGTTGGGAATATATCTGCAACGGTCATGGGTGGTTTTGTTAATATTATGCGTCGTGATGATGCCGCTATTCTTATATGCGACGCCGTTGCTGAAGCTTTTGGGGCAGCCGGACGATGTGTCGGAGCTTTCCGGCGTGGTGGTTGTGGCCTTCATTCCGATGCACTTCTGCTTCGCTCTGCAGTTCCCGCTGCAGAGGTTCCTGCAGAGCCAGCTGAAGAATCCGGTTATTGCCATTGTGAATTTGGTGGCGTTCATTGTGCATTGTCTGGTAAGCTGGTTGATTGTTTACCGGCTTCGGCTCGGAGTCGTAGCCATCGCCATGACATTGAACTTCTCTTGGTTCGTTATCTTCTTTGGGCTGTTTAGCTATGCCGTCTGCGGCGGGTGCCCGCTCACCTGGCCCGGTTTCTCCGTCCAAGCTTTCTCAGGTCTTTGGGATTTCTTTAAACTCTCTGTTTCTTCTGGAGTCATGCTCTGGTATGCTCCCGACGCAGCCCTTTTAATTAATTCATGTACCAAAATACGGAGTAATACGGATTAATAAAAGGGGAAAATAAATAATATAACCCGAACTTTGTCTTGGTGTGAGCTCCCCACCCCGAACTTGTCATAGTTTAAAAAATACCCTCAACTTTATTTTTTTAATATTTTTGTACCATATTTTAATAAACAAATAATATTTCTCAAATTATAATATTTTTATTAGATTTAGTTGGCATAAAAAGATGTGTGATTCCCAAATTAATGTGTGCTTTTCGAATTGATTAAATAACTTCAAAATCTCTAATTTAAGTACAAAAAATATGTTAATTAAAACAAGGGAAATTCTACCGTGCCTCTATTATATGAGAGTGTACGGTACATGCGCCTAGCTGGACAAATAACAATATTACATGTGGATGTTTTAAACACTTATTCAAGTAATGATACGATGTTAAATTTCATTTAGGTATTACTAATATATTTGCATTGTAGTCCCTTAAATTACCATCTCCAATGTAAATATTTCTCTCTGATTACTTTATGTCCGTCTCCATGGGGTTGCTTCTCAACAAGTCATTGCAGTTAAACACTTAAAAGCGTGAATAAAATCCAAATCGGGAATTAGAGATCATAATCCCTTAACTAGATACAACATATCAATATATAAACAATAACTGCAGAGTTTTGATGAAAAAACAACCAAAAAACCTTGTGCTCTGTCGAGGTTGTTCTAAAATTACCCTGGAAATTAATTGGAAATATAAATATATACTTGAATAGTAACAAATTCATAATTAAATGTTGAAACCAAAAATAATCAACTGAAGCAATGCTCATAGAAGAAAGGAAAAATCTCGAAGAAATGTTGACTAGATTAAACCAGATGTAATCTAAATCGGATATAATGATTAAACGGTTAACATAGTAATATGAATTGAAAATTCTAAGTTCGCCTGTGCAAAATCTTTGCCTAAAGCTAAATTGAGAGCCGAGATGTGCGATCTTCTTCTTTGAGAAAGCACAGATGCACCGCTAGGGCACCGTAAAGTCCACAGACTTTTGCAGGACTCAATTGCAAATAGATTAATCACTAGTTTAATACTCCGTAATAAGATGCTTGGTGATTAATTTATTATGAGTTCTAAATATCCACATGTATTATTTTTAGTGGCCATCTAGGCAAAGGTACCGTGCACTTGTAAATAATAGAGGTACCATAGAAGCACCCAAATTAAATTTAACATCGTATCATTACTTGAATAAGTGTTTAAAACATCCACATGTAATATTGTTATTTGCCCAGCTAGGCGCATGTACCGTACACTCTCATATAATAGAGGCACGGTAGAATTTCCCGTAAAACAATTCAAGTAAGAAATACTACGTGCCTTTGTCAGCCTAACAGCATCTCCAATGCTACAATATGCAAGGTGCACATGTGGCATGAGAGATATAGATACAAAATATTGATTTTATAACATTTCTCTATCCTTTCCACGGTCTTGTGTGTTTTTGGTAAGTTTTTCTCTGCAATGTCAACCACAATGTCTACATCTAGACGTTGTGCTTGACATTGTGAAGAAAAACTTACCAAAATGATATAAGATCTTTCAAATAAGGAGAGAGATATTTTATTTATTGTTTTTTGATTGGTTATCTTTCATGCCACGTATGCATCGTTGACGTATTAGCTTTGGAGATGCTCTAAGATTGGGATCAAGAAGAGTGACATCAGTTTTTTAAAATGGGTAATTTGAGTTTGCACCCCATTTTATTCTCCAAATTGAACTTTGCACATCATTTTTGCACCCTAATCCCATATGAAAAGACAAAAATATCCCTCAATTAACCATTCAGTTGGCCTTCAACATATTCCTCATCCACGACTCAAGGAGCATTTTTGTCTTTTCATACGACGTTGAGGTGCAAAAACAATTATTTTCAAAAACGGGGTGCAAAGTCCAATTTGGACAATAAATGAGGTGCAAACTCAAATTACCCGTTTTCAAATATGAGGGGTTATGTAATGATAATAAATTGACAAAGTCATAATTAGAGCCACATAAATATTATCCCTCCGTCGCATTTTACCTGTCTTACTTTCCTTTTTGGGTTGTCCTAAAATAAGTGTCATCTTTCTCTTTTTGGAAAGAAATATATGGTCCACAACTTTTCAATTTACTATACTCAAATCTCAACCACACATTTTACCTTTTCAACTACTTTATTAAAAATTGTGCCAAAATCAAATGAGACACATAAAATGGGACAAAGGTAGTAAAAAATATGATATAAGATAAATTTGTTGGGATAGACAAAAAAGGAAAAGTGAGACAATCATAATAGTACGAACGGAGACTCCGTGATATCAAATGTCTAATTCTAGTAATCATGATTATGATTAGTTTTATAGGAGTACATAGTAGTAAATAACTAAGAGCCTATTTGGTATCACCGAAATCAGCTGAACCGACTGATTCTGTTCAAATTTATGAAGTTCTGGCTGAATTGCTTGTATTGAGTGATTTTTTTTGAATTATGAAAAATTATATTTCAAATACATTTTATTAATAAAATAAAGAAAAAATAACATGAAAATAGCTAAAATAGTCATCTACAGTAACTTCAATTCAGCCAATATAGCTAGAAAAATCATTTCAACCTTTTTTTTCTTCTTATTACACAATCCTGCAAAGAACTCAAAAGTTACGTGTTTGGTGAAAAATTAGCTGATAAGCCGAAAAACTGGGTTACTAAACGGACTCTAAATGTGTCCTATGTCCAAGGTGTAGAGGTATGGTACAAATCAATACTCTTTCTGTCCTGCTAAAATGGCCTCATTTTATATTTTCGGAAAATCTCATTATGCTTGTCATATGCCAAATTTGGTAAAATTGTGTTGCTCTAAATCATTCTTACCTTATTCTTATTTTATCAATTTAATATCAATTACATAAACTTACTTTTTTTAATAATTCATTCACCTCTTCTTGTCCCAATGGTAGTGGGACGGAGGTATATGAATATTCCTCCCTCTTACATTTAGACAACATAGACATAAATGAATGATATTTATCAATAAATGCCTGATAGGTACACTTCATTACTAATAGAGCAGTAGCTACTAGAATATTCACTTTCTCTTTAGGCAGGGCAATATTCACTAATTCACGTAATTTTCTAATAATTCCGTCTCAGACAAATTTGACAAGTTAATGTTAGGATGCGAAATTTGAAAATAAAAACTACTTCGTATGTGATTTATGTTTGTATAGAGAAGAGATAAATGAATAGAGTCACAAACAGGGGAGGATCTATGTTAGGGCTATGGTGGGCTGAAGCCCAGGGCAAAGTAATTTTTTTTTATTATTTTTAAGGTATTATGTTTAAAAAATTGCACCCAGCCCATCCCAAAAATTTCTATAGCCCAGTCCAATTTCTCAACCCAGCCCATAAACAAAATCTTAACATCTAAAAATCTAATCTAAATGTTATACACATCACCCTCATACTTAATAATTGGCACTTAGTATATACATATACGGACTTTATTGACATGTTCACAACAACTTTTAAAGTGCTTGAGTATTTTCAAAAACATTGCCCAAAAGTGAGTTCTTGGGCATAAGTTCGTAGTGTACATAAACACTTTTCATGTTTTGAATTTGTGATCCTTTACTTTTTTTTTACTCCAGGGGGGTCTGGGGGAAGGGGGCTGGGGGAGCCTTGAGTAATCAGGGCTGAAACTCACTCCGTTGAGTTTTGCACCCTTGTGTGCCTAGCGGATTTCGAACTCGAGACCTCCCACTAGACACGGTAACCTCAAAATCAGCTGGGCTGGAATGTTTGGTTATGGAAATAATGAATTCTGTCAAGGCCTTCAAAATTTTTTATTTGATATCTTGTTAGCCATGAGAGACATTTTTTCAATACACAACCGATCATTCTAGAGGAATTGGCAAAAAACGGATGGGAAGGCTTTCTTGAAGAAGTAAAGGAGTTTTGCTCAAAACATGAAATTCATGTACCGAAGTTGAATTTTGAATATACGGTTGGTCATTGCAGAAAGAAACTACAGTTGAACATCATTATCACTTTGGTGTTTTCAATGAGGCAATAGACTTTGTATTGATGGAGTTAAGGACCCGATTTAATGATAAATCAATAAAACTCCTTTCTTTGAATGCTTCATTGGATCCCAAAAATTTATATGGGTCATCCAATGTCGATGTTATTTGTACTCTTGCAAGGAATTTCTATCCCGAAAATTTTAGTAGTCAGGACATTCATGTTTTGGAATTCGAGCTGCAACACTATGTTCGTGATGTATTCATGTACAAAGTTTTAGTATCTACATTTGTTGAATTATGTGAGGAGTTGATTAAGAGCAGAAAATCCGATTCATATGTTATGATGAGTAGATTGATTTTCCTTATATTGAACTTACTCTTCTTTTGCAAAATTAGAACACTCGTTTTATGCCATGAAACTTCTAAAGGCAGCACTCCTCAACAAAATGGATGATGACTTTATACTGAAAAAGACACTACTCTTAGTATAGATGTAGACTCTATTGTTGATGAGTTCTTTTTGTTTCAAAGCCTCGTTGAGAACAAATTCAATGGAGAACTCTTATATTTGATTTTTTGTTTATTTTGAAAATTTTCAATGTATTATTATTTAAGTGTTTCAGCCCAGCCCAACATGAAATCCTGGATCCGCCCCTGGTCACAAAGTCATTACTTTAAAAAAAGTGACAATTTTTTTTAGACAAGCAAAAAAGAAAAGTATCAAAATCCAGTGTACCGGAGGGATTACCTTTTCTAATGATTATATGGACATATTGACAATTTTATCCAACAAGGGTATTAATAAAGTAAAATCATGTGGTTGAAGTTTGTGCAGAAGATAAAAAATAATTTGGAATCACAAATTATTTACATAAAATTGAAAATGACAAATTATAACCAAAAAAGGAAAATTAATAAAGTTTTAAGGATTGGAGAGAGTGCTTTTTTGTTCATAAGTTTTGGTTGAGAACTATTAATGATAGAACTTTTAAAATTATTACTTCTATGAAGTAACAAAATACTACGTAATAGTTTTATAAATTTAGTTTTCATAACCATATTATTTGGCACTGATTAATTAAGTTTGATATAACATATTTTTGACATGACGTAGTGCCAAATAGCTCCTTCCAAAATCGTGTTGTTACAAATTTGGGAACGAATTGAACAGGATCCACCAATTCATACCAAATTCGTTTTGAACCAAGCATTCCAGCCCAGCTAGTTATGACTTATGAGATTATCGTGCATAGTGAGAGATCTCGAGTAAACCTGCTAGGCACATAAGGGTTCGAAACTCAATGGAGTGAGTTTCAGCCCCGATTACTCCAGGCGCCCCTCCCCCTCCCCCGGACAAATTCGTTTTGAATCTCCTATAATTTTTGGTGAACCCTACAAAACACTTATTCCAAATCCGTACCAATACGGTTGGCTTTTTAGTGTTTGCTACTATGGAGTATGGAGTCTATGGACACTAACTTTATAACCATACTTTTTCCATTGAGATATAATCTTGACATTAACTTTGTAACTATTTAAAGAATGATAAAACTGAAGTGGGTTGAATCTGATTAATTGGAAGGGCGGAATATGCTAAATTAGTACGGAGTATTATGTGTGCGTCGCTAATTTTAAAATGGTTTGCATAACTTATCATACAGCTTGGAGAATTGGTACTACAAAGTTCTGATAGTGATGACAGGCAACTTGGAAAACGCTAAAATTGCTGTCGATGCATTGTCTATTTGGTAAGAAATTTGTCACTTGTTTATGTGATTCTTTTATATCCCTGTTATTTTTTACTATGATAATTAGTATGTAGATATTTTTACTTGAACGGAAATTTTATGGTATAATCTGGTCTAGTCTGTTTAAGTCTCGTCTAGTCTCGATTGAACTAAACTGGTATAGTATTATGGAAATCTGATCTCTGTGTGGCTTACAATTGTCTGAACTTTTTTAATCTGGGCTTGCCTGATCTCTTTAAATTTGATCTGATGTGGTTAATTTGATTTGTTTGAGTCTAGTGTGATCCGATCTTCTTAAGTTGAGTTTGATTTGATATGTTCTTATCTCATCTAGAAAGTGATTAGTTTAAAAAAGTGTTAGAAGTTTTTTATATGCCGTATATTGCCAATCATTGAATCAATAAATTGCTTACCACATGGCTTACAATGATATCACGCTGAAAGTCAAAATCAACATTACAATCACACATAAAGCATGAGTTGCTTGATTCACTTATTCTCACAAGTCTTAATGACACACTCTCTCATTTAGCACTTAATAATGTCAAAAGTTTCTACCACTTGAGTATCATTTGTCTCTCTTGTTATAAATCAAATTGACCAAATTCATCTCAGTTGACATAATCACATTATTCTAACCATTCATCGGTGGGCATAACTCGGCTCAGTTCATAGATAAGAGGTGCTACAAGGGACAATTCTCGATTTCGAATCATAGCAACTATGATAAGTAGTTATTATGTTATGTATACATATATAGAAACTCTGTAAGTACTTGGATCAAAGCTCTCCTCAAAGCTCTGTGATGAGAATACATGTTTTTGATTGGCCAAACTTGACCAAATTCAAATTCAAATTAAAAAAGCTGTACTTGGAGGAAGTAAGGAGTCTGGAAGAAAACATGTTTTTTATTTGCCAAATTCAAACTACCTAACAGGCCCAAATATTTCAAATTTGACAGGAAACACTCTCAGAGTTCCATCAAATTTTGGTGTGCTTGATTTGCCTAAGAAATAAATGGATTACCTTCTCTAAGAAAGGACTTCTCTATGATAGCGATTTGTACAGAAAAAACATTTTCTGTCTTCAACCATAGAAAAAATCCAAAACATAAACTCGACCGGTTAAAAAAAGTATGATCTTTTCACTTCTTTTTACTTTTTGCAGCATGAGCATTAATGGCTGGGAACTGATGATTCCACTTGGATTCTTTGCTGGAACTGGGTCAGTACTTCTATATATTTTTCTCCCATATATTTAGATGGAAAATGTTTTTTTAAACACCGAGAATGTTGAGGGAACAAGGAAAAATCACATGAACATTTAGAGTAGATGTACAGGATTGGCATCCCATTTTGCTTCCCAGCAAACGATCCAGAACCTCCTTCGATATGTTTGCGGATAAAGCAACCCAGCTTGTTGTCACAACAAACTAGTCGTGCATCAGTCTTCAAATTAAATAGTTGGACAACTTTGTCATAAATTGCCGTGATAAACGAATAGGTGAGAAATGTCCGACATCCCTTTAGGAAGTTGTTGAAACTTTTCGAAAGATTTGTAATCAAGATGCCAAAGTGTCGTTCTTTATCGTAACTTGGTGCCCACATTTCATTAGGATATTCATTCAAATACACAAACGCTGGTTCATTTATAGCCTGAACTTGAGACATAGTTTGAAGTTCGGTGAGCTTTACATCCAGCCTGTGAACAGAGTCTTGAATTCCTCGCTCCCGAATCTAGAAATAAGGGTGCTAACGTGACTGAGGCAGTAACGTTTTAAAATCCCAGAAGTTTATTGTTCACGTATAGTTTGAATTTTGAAAACCACTCTTGATACAGGGATGCTAATCCAAGATCAGTAGACATGTAGATTTAGTGTACTACAAAACAACACATATCATAAAGCGTTAGGAAAACCAAGACGAACTACTTGCATTCTCATTTTCTACAATCACATTGGCGAGTTGAAAATCTCAGGGTTAGCATTAAATGTCATGACAACAACAAGATGGCCCTTGTTCTTTCAGTACAAATTTGTATCATCATCTCATACTACGGATAGGCAGTGATGGAAACCATCAATGGAAGTTCTGAAAGATGAAAATACACGGCATAATTCGTACAAACCAATGGAACAACATTACAACACTGTCTTAGCTGTGAACGATGCACAACCACCTTTCATATGTATTCTAGGTAAAGAAATTCAGCTTCTTGATTTCCATATGACATCCCTTTAGGATGTTGTTCGTGTTGCCCGTCAACGGCATGACACTATCGGGATTGGCAACGAGTTCGAAGAAAGTCTACTTGCAGATGTGCGTGTAGACAAGTGAAACAAACTTGAACACATGTGTGATAAAAGGGGCTCCATCGACTTTTTTACTACAGGGGCGGAGGCATAGGGGGCCTTAGTTCCTACCAATTTATTTACTGTATTAGTAGTAGTAGTAGTATTCATTTATGGGATACACTGAATCACTGATACATATTAAACAGAGTAAGGGTGGCAAATGAGTTGGGAGCTGGGAGTGGAAAAGGAGCTAAATTTGCTGCAGTCGTATCAGTGGTACATTCAACTATCATCGGTTTGATCTTTTGGGTGTTAATCCTCATCTTTGATGACAAGTTTGCCCTAATTTTCTCATCAAGCAAACCTGTCCTAGAAGCTGTCAGCCACCTCTCAATTCTCTTGGCTTTCACTATTCTGCTCAATAGCATTCAACCAGTTCTATCAGGTAAACCTTACTCTTTAGCTTGCTAGCCCTAATAAACTTAAATAATTATTCTCTTAAAGTAATTTGTTACCGTACATAGCAAGAAAAAATATAGAGCAGGCAGCAGAAATATCATTTTCATATGTTGTTTACCCACCTTTTAAATACTGCACAACCCAAAAAGGTGGAATCGCCCACCCCACGCATATGTATGGAGGGGGGGGGGGGGGGAAGGGGGGAAGGCCCCACCTAGCTGCACTCAAGAATTGTGAATAGAAATTTAAAAAACGTCCTTAACTTGTAGGAGTTGCTGTTGGATCTGGATGGCAAGCGTATGTAGCTTACATAAACCTTGGATGCTACTATTTACTGGGAATCCCTCTTGGCATTATAATGGGATGGGTGTTTCACCAAGGCGTCATGGTAAGCATGCATGCATGATGCATGTAAATATGTAATCCTTAACCATATATACTTTTCTTTCTCAAGATAAATTTCACAATAACTTTCGTCGTTCATTAGATATTCCCACAAAAAAATTCTCATTTTTCTTGACTGGCTCCTCTTTTTTAATCCATACATTTCAATTACATAATTCCATCTCTTAAACAATGTGTCAAATGTAAGTTAAATGTATGACCTTGTAATCCAAAAGCAGTAATAATTGATATCATATTGTGATACAGTACAATATCGTGGTATTTTTATAGGTAAATTCAGTAAGTTGTAATCTGACAAGAGACCATCTATAAAGGCCCGTGGCGTTAATTCTTTTTCACAGAGCAATTCTTATTTAATTTTAACCAGTTCCTAGGAAGTGTTAACCATTCTGGTAAAAAAGGAAGTGTTAACATAAGTGTTGGATCTAATGCAACCCAGTAGAGTTATCAACTGATAATTAAAGATTATCTTACATTTGTTAAGAAGTTCTTTTAAATTCCATTTTATTTTAACTTAGGGATCGATTCTAAAAAGTTGATTTGTTAGGAGAAGTACCTTAAAAACTCGTGATTTTGTTTTTCTATTTTTGGATAGAGGTAAAAATATATTATAACAAAAGATGTATTTACATGAGTATATAACAAAAAGAGCAGGAATAATACAAAGGCAACCCACATTAGAAAACAAGTTATGCACAGCTAGAACAAAACTCAAATAATATCCCTAGGAGGGACAGCTTGGTTTGTAGAATAGATTCTACCTACTGGAGTGACATATTTGAAGTTATATTATTATAGTCAAAGGGCATTTGAAAAACAGATGAGCCACAAACTCCAAATGAGCACGACAGAAACAACACCCTTTATCAATATGCCCAAGTACTGAAGTGTTTTAGTAGTTGTAGAAAGTTTATTTGTTAATTTTAACCACTACAGTTTATTTCCAAATAAATTTTATCCAGGCTTGGCTAGATGCTATAGTGTTCAAAATTTTATAGACGGTAGATGAGGGCAGCTAAATTACCATTAAGACAAAGAGAGCGAAAAATAGTTAACAAGGAGCACCTAATTCGAACAAACATCTTGAGTAGCGAGGAGCCTGTTATAGATCAATTTGCCATAAGGGCATCTTTCGTATAGTGATTATCTTTAAAAATTCATATCTTTATATTTTCCCCGAATAGCTCTGTAGGATGAGTATAGATAAATGATCTTTGACTACTTCTTCTATGTGTAGTATCTCACATTAAAACTCTAAGTGTTAATATAATTTCACAGTTTGTACTTGGTGTTTTACTTGGTGTGTATTTTGTTGAATGAGTTAGAGCTATAATGGACACTGCAGGGAATATGGGCTGGAATGATCTTTGGTGGAACTGCAGTGCAAACTCTAATTTTGTGTATAATCACATTACGTTGTGATTGGGAAAAAGAGGTAAACGGTCCCTTCATATGTGCGCACTTTCCATTGTTGTTATTAGTGTTGTTGTTACTTGTTAATGTTTTTATGTCACTATTGAGTATTTTGTTATTATTATCATGGCCGGGTTTTGATACTTTTGGTAATTAATTATGATGTTATTATTTTGTTCTACTTACATGTTGAAATACAGGCTCAGAAAGCAAATCAACACATTGAGAAATGGGAAGGAGTAGGTCACAACGCATAGTAGAAGTTTGGAATTGGCATTGTCGTATAACTATAATATGACAAAAGTTCACCTAAATTTGTGTATTTGGACGTTCAGTCTAATGAAGAAATGGATTACCATTCATTTCAAGGAGGTTAAAATGGTATTTGTTTAGTGGCTTTGATGCCTTGATTGTTTAGGAAAGCAATGGTAGGGCTTTCAAAATCAGAGGTTGAAAACTGTGATGAGAGCTTCATAAACAAATCATCAAAATTTTCAATGTTGGCAAAAGCGTCATTGCCGTTGGGATATATAGCTACTGGTCTCTCAAAGTTGACCATGGTTCATGGTCGGAAGAAAGGGAAAAGATACATTAGCTTTAGGAGCTTAAGTCTTAACAAACCGATAATGTCGTTGTGAGGTCGTGAGGAGCTCTAGGTTGGCAAAGGAATATCATATGGAAAAAAATTCAAAACTCATTTGATACAACCTTTTAAGGATAAGCGGTCGTGTATGTTTTGTAAGGATAAGTCCTTTTAACTACCTTTTAGCATTTTGTATCATTTTAAAAGTTGAAATAATTATAAAAAGTTTAGGGAAAACTGTCATATAAGTCCATCTACTTTTGGAAAAAAGTCAATTGAATTCATATACTATTTAATCAATCAATTAAGTCCGCAAAGTATTAGAAAATAATCAAATTGGCTATTTAGCCAGTAAACGTCCGGTTCTCCGGTTGTAACTTCCATTTGGCTTTTTGCTTTCAATTTTCTATTATTTTATATTTTATCGTTTTCTTTTCTTTTCATTTTTTATTTTTCTATTTCTTTTGCTTTTCTCTTTCCTTGTTTCGTCCCCGTGTCTGCAACTCTGCAAGACTGCAACGTCACTCCATCTGCTTACTTCTCGATCTATCAGTCTATGGAGGCTGAGGAGCAGAGTTCGATTCGCTTGATGAGGCGTAGTTATAAGCCGCAGAGGTGGAGACGGCTATGGAAGCCAGAGTCGTTGGAGGTCGCTTCAGTGGAAGAGGCAGGGGGTAGGCGCCGAAGATGGTAGCCGGAGGGCGGAGGCGGTGTGTGCAGAGGTATGGGCGACGGAGGTCGTGGCTATGGAGGTCGGGGCGGCTGGAGGTTGCTTCAATAGAGTAGGTGAAGGTGGACGCCGCAGAGGTGGTGGCCGGAGGCGCGTGGTGTGTAGGAGGGGCGGCGGAAGTGGAGGCCGGAGGTGGTGGTGACCGGATGCGGTGGCTATGGAGGCCTGGCGGCGGAGGTGGTGGCTTGAGAGGTCTGGGAAACGGAGTTCGTTCCAAGGTGGCAGAGGGAGTAAAAATGGAAGAAAGTGAATGGATTTCAGGTGGAGACAAGAAAAAAAGAAATGAAAATGGTAGAGCTGCAGACTGGGAAGAGGGAGCGTATTCAGCGGACAGGAAGAAAAGAAGAAAGAGAGGAAAGAGAAAAAGGGAGAGAGGAAAAAGAAAAAGAAAAGAAAAATGGAAAAAATTAGAAAACAATAAAAAAGTAACAGCTGGGACTTCCACGTAAGCAATTGACCCGGTAACCGGTTAGCTACCTGTTAAATAGCAGATTTGATCATTTTTTAATAGTTCGCGGACTTGATTGATCTGATAAAAAGTATGTGAACTCAATTGATTTTTCGTTCAAAGTACGTGGACTTATGTGACAGTTTTCCCAAAAGTTTATCAAAAACTTCTAATGCCATGTTTGCCTATATAATTTTGAAAAAGTGTTTTAATTTTTTTTTTAAAAGCCACACAAAGTAGTTTCTAAGAGAAAATATTTGTTTAGCTAGTTATGCCTAACATGATTAAATCAATTAGTCAGCTATTTATCCAACAATTACAACCTAAATTTAAAAAACTTTTCATTAACAAAATCTGAGCATTTACTAAGAAGTTTACAAAAGTAATTTTCAATCGCCCCTTGCACAGTTGCACCAAACATATCCATGAATGAATGAGTAAAAATGTAAAATGAAGAACTATTACTTGTTTCAAATAAAGGTGCATATAAATAAGCTTCTTATAACATTTTCAATCGCCCCTTGCACCAAACATATCCATGAATGAATGAGTAAAAATGTAAAATGAAGAACTATTACTTGTTTCAAATAAAGATGAATATAAATAAGCTTCTTATAATTTTTTTTATCCCGAGAATCCACCAGATAAGTGGGGTAAATGTCGGGGAACATTTACCAAATTTATTAAAAGATGAGAAACAAGTTTACAGTGAAAAAGAGTAAAGAGTTAGGGAGTACAAGAACCAAAGGAGGAGAAAAGGAAAAAAAAACATAATAGATCCAAGAAATTGGCCCAAATGCATCAAAAAAGGCCCACAGAATAAACAGCTCCAAACATCTCCAACATAATACTTCCACGGACCGGTGTCGTTGATAGTATAGAATTATGTTTGTTTATTTGTGTAATTTTAACTAGTTTTATTTGTTGTTGTTTGGGAAATTATACACTTTTGGTGTAATACTTTATTTTTCTTATTTTGTTTGTAGTTTGTTTAGATTAGGATTATTCTGAGCTTTAACTAGGTAAAAATCATCAAAAGGATCCTTGGAAAGGTCAAGGAAAGTGAAAGGGATCAAGATCAAGTGAAAATTTGGGAAAATAGTCATTTACCCGGTCGGGTAAATCATTTACCCGATCGGGTATTGACTTGATCCGAAAATCAAATCTGATTTGGAGGCAATTTAACGTGCAGGCAAAGATTTGGCAAAGATTTGTCTTTTACCCGATCGGGTAAATCAAAAACCCGGTCGGGTAAATGGCCCTGGCAGCTCCAAACACCTATAAATACACCCCTTTTCCTTCCCATTTGATCACCAATTCCTTTATACTCTTAAGCTCAGTTTAGAATAGCATTTCTTTATATTTCTTTTAGCATGTTTAGTCTAGATCTCCAAATGAGGAGCTAAACTTCCATTTCTTGGTATTGCTCTTGAAGCTTGTTGATTATTAAAGTTGTGAGTTATTTTCTTAACTTCTTTCCTTGAATATTAATTCTTCCTTTAAATACTATTTCTATATCAATGTTGGGGAGTGTTACTAAGATGACAATTAGTTAACATCTTGACATTGGTCTTAGTAATAGCTATTCCTTCCTCTATGTTAATATTGGGGAGTGTTACTAAGATGACAATTAGTCAACATCTTGATATTAATCATAGTAGGATTCATCTTCTTTAATATTCTTCCTTGAGTATTAATTAATCCCTATTCATATATCATATTAATATGTTGAACATTACTTAAAGGATCAACTAGTTTTGTTTCATATATTAATTATCACTAGAAACGACAATTAGTTAACATCTCAACATTAATTACTACTAGAAACGTTCAACGAACCGATGGTTAATCGTTGATGGTTTCACAAGTAAGTAACTTCGGTTTATTAATGCACGGTCGTGGTTAATAAACTTAAGAGGGATTAATTTTGTTGGTTAAACTGAAACCGTTGTGTTGATTTCATCAAGGAGTTAAGAGATTAAATGCTACTATCAAGTCGGTATATGGCGTTGTTCTATACTTGACTAATAGTAAGGGTTATTAATGAACGGTCGTTGTTAATAACTATCCTTGATGAATTGGATATACTCCTCGATTGAGTATTCGAGAGGAGATAAGTTATAGATATAACGATGATCGACTAAAATATATCAACAAGTGGAAAATAGCAATGCCAAGTTCCTTTTATCTTTGAATTTAATCCCATATAACTCGTTCATCTTCGTGTTTAAGTTATTAAACCAAATCAATCAAAACCCCCCTTTCATTACTAGTTACATAAAAGAAAAGTTATTCCTTTCCCTGTGGATACGAACTCTACTACACTATATTACGTATAGTTGCTAGTATTGAATATTATTTTGAGTGCACACACGACAAGTGCACGTCAAATTTGGCGCCGTTGCCGGGGAAAGGCAATTATTTTGCTTTTTATTTTATCTCATAAAAATCAAAAAACAAAAAAAAAATATAAAAAAAAATATATCTTACTCTTCTATTTTCTGAGCTTACATGAGTTATGAGTATATGGATACCAACATTTCATCCTTAGAGAGTCAAATTTCCTTCTTGACTTCTCTAATAAAGGAATATATCTTAAGCTCAGAAGCTCAAGATGCCAAAACATGCAACATTTGCATGTCTCACAGGCATTTTACGGATTTCTGCCCAAAGCTTCAAGATGAATACTTTGAACAAATTGATGATGTTGGTTACGAAAGGGATGTACCTCACATGAGGTATGATCCGGTCTCCAACTCTAACATGTCTACGGAGGACATGATTCGGGCTATTGCTACCAACATGACCACCATGCAAAACAACATGGTGCAATTCCAAAATGAGACCAAGTCTAGCATTTTAAACTTGGAAACTCAAATGAGTCAAATAGCCGGAGCCGTGAGTAGGCTTGAAGCAAGGGATTCAGGAAAACTTTCCTCTCAAATAGAATGTGATCCTAAACAGCAAACTTTTGCAATCACACTGACAAATGAGAAGGAAATGCAAAAGAAAGAGGTAGAAGAGGAAAGAGACATGGAGCTTCAGCTCGTCAAGGAAGAGGATGAACCGAGTTTCAAGGTCAAATATCTATCCTTATCATTCTTTATGGTACCCCCATCAGTTCTAAAAACTTTGAGGGAAACTCATAAAATTGAAAAGGAGAGTGACATTTCTGAAATCCTCGGAGAAATTGAGGGATCGAAACATTTTCCATTGACCATGTTAAATGATAATTTCTTTCCCTCACTCTCACCACATAAATCAATGAAAATTTGGGTATTTGACCCTGGAAAGATTTTCAAAGTGAAGAGTCGAGAAATTGAGAATTTCTATGGAGGTCCTAGGAGTGAAAGTGTAAAGAAAATAAACTATCACGATCCAAGTTTGAATGACTGAACACAATGATGGCGTCGTGCCACGACGTTAAAAAAAGCGCTTCTTGGGAGGCAACCCATGCAAGGTACGTTTACTTATCTTATTTTATTTTTTTTTCACTTTGCAAAAATAATAATAATAATAATAATTGCCAACCCCTGCTTCCAAAATCCGTCCGGGTATCATCCCCACACCCTACGGGTTTCCGAAAAGCAAATAACATGCAAAAAGAGCAAAAACCCGATCGGGTAAATGCAAAACCCGACCGGGTAAAACGGAGAAACAGCCACTGCCAATGAAAAAACAAAAACCCGTCCGGGTATTTCGCAAAACCCGACCGGGTTTATGGGTTTTAACCAGATTTCACC